CCCCCCCCCATAAAAACAGACAAAAACATTAAAATAGGAAAAGTGCTATGTATGCTGCCTTGTGCTTCAGGAGGAAAGGGGGTTATAACCGAAATAGATAAGGATTTTCTTTCTATTTATGAAAAGCTCTTCTGCAAAGTCATTAGTTCTTGCATATTCCAACTGTTCATAATTGCACTGTGAGGTGTGTGTGTGTGTGCATGCGTGTGCAAAATCTGAACATAATTTCTTGTTCCCATCAAGATACCCTATACCAGGGTTCTCCAAAGTGGTCAATATTGACCCCTAAGGGTTGATGGGACTACCCAAGGGGTCAATGTTGTCTTAATTTTTATTATGGTTGGTTGCACAGTCATCCAGATGTTTAGACTGGATTCGGCATTTTTATCCGCCTATCGAGTCCTTCCCAAGGACTATTATTATTCTTTGTAGTACTATTAGTTAACGTAGTAATTTGTGAAATTATTTTCATATAATAAATGTTGGGGGATTGATGAGCAATCTGAAACTTCATGAAGGGGGCCAATGAGCGGAAGAGTTTGGAGACCCCTGCCCTACACCATCACTCAAAAGAACAGCAATTTTCTTGAAGCTGTTAACAGATAACATAAATCGCTATCAATCTGATATCTAAAGTCACCTAGTCATATCATTTCATCTCCGTTTCTGTAACTGGAATTTGTACTCTGAATGTAATACGCAACCGTACCTCCTAATCTGAACAATTTGAGTGAAATTCAGTCATTTAATTGGAGATGATTTTTCAGAATGCTGATTATATTTAAGTGAATCTATGGGCTCTTACACGGCAGGATAATAGATTCACGGGCTTGCTTTTACTACATTACGTTTCAATATAGCTTTGGGAGACTGACTTTCGAGCACAACAACATTTTTATTGTTTTATATTCTCAATAGGGAACATATTTATATTCTTGATAGATGCAATTAAAAATACTGTTATGTAAATATGTTTGTCTCAATTTTCTGGATTGTTTGATCTGACTTTGGCATACAGAATCTCAAGAGTCATTAGTTATCGAAGGTGATGTTAGGTACTAAATAACTATTGTGCATTGGACTAAAAATGTTAGCGTAGGGGGAAAAGCCAATGCTTCTCCACCCAATAGTAAACAGTTATAAGTAGGGCCATGCTGGGCTTCTCTTCCTCAGTGACTCATTTTCTTGGCTCAGGTTTTGTTTGGACTGAAACGTCTGAGAAGCACCAGCATAGATACATTGCTCTGCTAGGCATGCCAACCAAGCTGAAAACAGCTGGATCTAAGCCTTTAGCAGTAGCGCTGACTACAGAAATACACAAGTAAAGATAACCACAGTGAATCCACCTATGGATGAAGCCAGTGGAGCAAAAACACTCATGTCCTCTATTCTTCTGCCTGCTGTTTGAAGCCGCCATATTTAGAGTCCCCAAAGGTTAAAACTGGCCCTGCGCTGTGCTTTTAACAGCGCACTTGCCTTTCTTTAAAGAAAGAAAGAAGAAATTAGGTGGCCCTCTGGCTAATAACTTGAGTTAAAATGCACTATTGGAATTCAGCAGCTCAGTGACAAAGTCTATTGTTTTCCTCACCACGACATTGCTCTCTCCAGCTTGAGGACCTGCAAATTGTGGCTTCTTGCAAGAGATACGGGTTTTCAACTCCCTCCAAAGCCTGTTTGGAGAAAACCGATTTGTAACTGGGCTTTGCCTTCCAAGAAGTTCTGAAATGGGAGTTCCTGGGTGGGGGGAGTGCTTTGCAGATGAACTCTCAATCTAATGTGCAAGATTAAAGGGAAGACATTAACCTCTTTACTGAGGTTAATACCTAGAAACGACCTGCTACCAGGAGCCGGCTTTAGGCATTGTGCTGAGCAACAATATAAGCGTGTTAGCTGGCTTTGGCCTAGTGTCTTTTGTGAACCTAGCCAATTGTGGTTTATTCTCTAAACCATGGTTAGAGAGACATGGCTTGATATGATGCATGAACCACCTGTTTGGAACCGATCTGCCATGTTTCTTAATCCCAAAGCTGGATTGCATAGCCCAGACTGAGATCTCGTGGACAGAGAAATATGGTTGCAAATCATGTTCCAATTATAGACTGGTTAGATTCGCTTCTCTTACTTAGCTGTTGTGTGATTAGCTTTTTCGTGTTTCAGCTTGTTGTGTGAAAGCAACCATCATGGCTTGTAGGTCATTATTTAGGCTTAGAGTGTTGTTTGCACCCAGGATGTTATATGGGTTCCACAAACCTCAATGAAATACCTATCCAACATTGGCTGATCTTGGAAGCTAAACAGAGGAGATCCTGGTGAGGTCTTAGATAGGGGACCACCTGGGATGCCCAGGTTTGCATGCAAGGTCATGGCAAACTATTTCTATTGTTTCTGCCAATAAACCTACATGCCTGGATCCATGTAAGTCACCAGGATTTGAGCTTTCATGGAAGCTTATAATAATATTGCACATATAATAATATGAAATCTGATGATTGCTTTGGCTACACTGAAAGTTTCTTTAAAAAACCAGACTATGGCCCTAGCAGAGTGTTGTCCAAACTTGGCGACTTTAAGATGAGTGAACTTCAACTCCCAGAATTC